AAGAAAAAAGCTACCTGCCATCTCCATTTATTTTTAGTTTTTTTTTAAAAAAAAAAAAAACTGGAACAGACATAAAAATGCATTGAAGCAAAATTCTGTCCTGTGTTAAATAAGAAAAAAATTCACTGTGATTAACAACAATTTTCCATTTGAATGGACTGCCAACGTATCATTTTCTGTTCAGTTGAATAATGCAGCCTTAAAGGAATCATTCTAAAAAGCAATTTACCACCAGATCTAGGCAGACTAGAGCAGAATCTCCCAGCCAGTCTGTGGCTCCTTTTGGAAGCCATTATAAATCCATGACCCCTGTGTACAAGTATGGTTTCCTTGCTATGCTTCTCCAGTCTTTCCTCCCTTCTATTTTTCAAGGTCTGACCAGCTTCCCACTCAGCTCTGAGATGCTTGGGGTGGTGGCGATTCTATCACACGTTCTCCTGTCACCTCCAGCACCAAAAGCACGGGCTAACTTTGGTTTGTTAAGCTACATTTCAGCTAGAGGATCATAATAAGGCAGTATCTAGAACCACAGAAGTACTAAGAGTAACAAAAAAGGAAAACGTTTACATAGGATATAATATGTACAGATTTTGCTCATAGGAATCTGGAATTGTTCTCTTTCTATCTGCGTAAGGATTTTGATATTTTAATTCTGTTTTCTTTCCAAAAAAGCCATTCATGGTCGATCAACCTAAATGGCTTCTATATGATCCGATATTGGCACACACTTGGAGATTAGCTGGAATTTAAAATGTCTCCTATATAACATTTTTATTCATATAAATTAATTTAAGTTAAAGTTTAATCATGCAAATAGTATTAGCAATGATGTTAAACGAGTTCCCTTGGTGCCCAAAGTGTCCCAAGTGCTAGAAAAGATATAAGATTTGAGAATTTATATAGTGCAATGATTGTCCCATTTCACATATTAGGAGGCACAGCTGGATTTGGGGTTTGTATCTTTCCTCCAAGGCTGCTGGCAAAATGCATCTGAGCGCCGACGCACAGTGTGGAACTGAGACTCTGAAGGTATCGCCTGTGTTCACTGCTGTGTGCACCAGCACTGCCCTGTGAAAACTGCACCGGGCTCCGCAGATCCGAGGCAAGGCAAGTCGTTCACTCTGCTGGAAATTGAGCTGTACGAGTAAAACATGATGCAAAACACTTGGACTGAAAACTAACTATGGGTTTCACTGTGTGAAATATTTCAAACTTTAAAAATTGATTGCAAATAGTTTTTTTAAAAAGTTAGAGAAGCAGGAAGAGGCTGTGTTGGAGCTGGCTTCACAGGACCTGCTGAGGAATACACCAGTGACAACAAATGCCAGGACTAAGAAAGGCTCCCCGAGAAAAATACACAGGGAAAGAAAGGTAGGTGTGGAGTATAATGGCTCAGCTGTGAACATGGTCATGACAGGGTGAGCCCTAAAATTTAAAGAATAAGTGCATGCTAAATAACTGTGAACAAGTTTGGACAAGGGAAGGAAGGCAAAATATACTGAGTAGACAAGGTCAGTAAATATAATAGAAGCAAGTCCCCCTCTTGCCCTGCCAATAGCTAACCTCTAAAAGCAAAATACTGACTTGCACATTGTTAGCAATCTAGAGTCAAATTCAAGAGAAGGAACAGCTAAGAATTGTGATTTTTATCTCTGGGTTGTGAGATAGGTTTGGAGCATACACAACTGCTGGGTACTTTCTTATAAGAAAACTTTTAGGTCTGTAAAGTATGTCTGGGTATCACTTTCATAAAGGTAATTTGATTTAAAATCACTTTTGAAGGAAAACTAGACATTCAGTGGATTGGAAGCCAGGGCAGTGAACTAGGGCGCGGCCACTTTGCTTCAGAACTGGTGGATGTGAGGCGGGGAGGAGGAACAGGGCCCGGCAGCTGGCACCAAGGTGGGGCATTCACAGCACAGGTCAAGGTGTCAGAGAGCTCGGGGACTTTGCTCAAAGGACGTTTACAGCTCAGCAGTAAGCTGAAGGGTACCCGACGGGAACACACGTGCCACTGTGTAAAGACTAAACTCCAGTTTTGGAAAAAATAGCACATCAGTAAAAATTAACAGCTCAAAGGGACTTTTACACAGATGCACAACTAATGGAGAAGACCATTTTCTTGCTACAATTACTACAATCTGGGGACTCTCTTTGATGTAGATATCTTAGACATTTTTAAACCCCAAAGCCATAAGGAAAAGATCATAAAACTCCTACCAAATGAAACCCAGGTTTCTGTGCCTGTCTTGCAGGTGACGAGGCTGATCAGAATGGGCCAGTCTGCTGTGCAGTCAGCCGGTGTCATTCTGAGCCCTTCTGTCCCAACGAGAACGCAAACATTGACAAGTCATACATTTCATACCTGGAGGCTACAATTACATTATTTCCAGATATACTCCTGGGATCCAAATTTTCCCAACTCCAAAAACCTAGCAGCAGGGAAGGCACAGGTTCAGGAGAAACGGGAATGGCTTTGCCTAGGGCGATCATGAATCTGCTACGTGAGTCTACTGACCCAAATGCAGACGTGCTTTCCTTGGTAGGACTCTTTGTTTTGTTTTCTTTTGCATTCTGGCCCTCATATAATACATTCCAGAAAGGAATACCTCCAAAACAGGTCAGTTCCAACCTACATGAGTTGGAATGAACATTTAAATGTTTCTTAGTGATTTGGAGATACACATAATAAATGAACCAGTTTCAAGGAGTCACACCCCTCCTACTCATTGGAATATAGACTTTTTATCATTTTCTTTATGTCACTTAAATTACAGAGTTAACAGTGGTTAGACTTTGAGAATAAATATTCCTCCCTGAGATCATTATCATTTTTGATGATGTGAATGATAGGCTGCTGGAAACTTCTTTATTCTTTGCTAAACCAAACCAGACTTGTTTGTTTGTTTGTTGTTAATCACTTCTGTAGACTGGAAACTATGGAAATATTTTCAACCAAACAAGTTTTCTCTTCAGCAGCCCTGTGCTGGAGAGAACCCTGTGCACATTGAAGAAACTCCATCTTTCTAAATGTGATATGGTTGAACTCTCATCCCCACATTTTCTTTGATTTTCTTGGGAAACACTTTCCAGTGTTTTCAGATTTTAGCGGTCTGTTTTGCATTGCCTCTCAGATGAAGAACTAGTTACCAACTCCAAAGCCATGGCTGGCTAACATTTCCCTCCAAGAGGAACATCTCACTCCTGCTTCCTTCCACAATGGTGACTCTGGCTGTTTCTCATTTACTTCCACAGCTAATATGGAGGCTCCTGGGGCCAAGCCTTGGACTTTCTGATTCCCTGTGTCTCACATGGACTTTCTAGCAAGTTCCCCAGTGTTTGGGAAACGCTGCAGCAGGGAACCCCACCTGAGGACTTCCTGCCTGAAGCTGTGTATCTCTGACATCACAGGGCTAGCTGAGTTAGCCAATACTCCTAGGAAGTGGGGATGGGGGACACCCAGCCAGATTACAAGAAAGAATTCCCCAAAGACAAAAATCTTCTACTGTTAAAATTCGCTTAATTGTAAAAATGTCAAGTCTATGTGATTTTTTTCAGGAGTGCATTCCTTATAGAAATAAGACACCTATATTTCTGTGAAACAAAATTTCCCAGACTTAAAAAGTTTTCATCCCTTCCATGGAGAATGAGAGGGAATCATAGTCATTTGTCTCTTTGAAGAATCCAGAAAAATAGACTATGCTTAAAAATCAGGCTATGTGCATATATGGTGATCTCGTTTTTTGAGCAAATAACAGTTGATACATAAGCAGAGTTTATTTGCAATTTTTTTCAAACACTACTAAGCAGTCCAGAATCATCTCTTTTTACACCAAACTAAAAATGTCCATTTTACACTTGAGCAAGCAGAGGTCACGAAAGACTAACTCATAGGGTAAAGTTACAGAAACAGAGCGAGTCTAATTCATAGACAAACTAGATTCATGTATTATCCCAAGTGAATACCCACAGTTTGACGGGAACTGTGACACGGAGGCATGTCTGCGAAAAAAATAAAATGATGCGGATGAGAACACCTTTGTTTTCTTCCTGAAATCCCGCGTTTGTCCTGCTTACTCCTCGCCAGAGGTGAGCAGCGTTGCCTCTCAGTTTAATGAGAATTCCTCAGATTAAAACTACTACCTAAGGAGTAATTCCTTGGAAATCACCAGAAAGGTGAACTTACTCTTTCTTTCTGCTTTATCGTGTAATTTTGTTTTGTTTTGTTTTTACATAAGTGTGCTTCTACTGGGCGATAAACCGCCGGGAGGAAAAGCAAGCACAGAGCACAGCTGGCATGTAACCATAACTGAAGACAGTTTCCACTGCTCTGTGTGGGTTAGCCAGCGAGGACCTCGAATCAAGGTTATCTACAGCAAAGATGATTGACCTGCTGCTAGTCAAGAATTAAACATGTCATGATTACTGTTTTACAGGCAAGCAAACAGAAGAGGCAGACCTTCCCGTGAGAGTACACTAGGTCAGTAGCAGGTTAAAAAAACAGTCGCCTGCCTTCGCTCACCTGGACTGGCGGTTTACACACTGTAAGCAAGTTAACCCTTTCCCGAGGAAACTCTGGGACCCTGACCCTCCTCCCTAGCTCCCGAAGCGCAGTTCCTGTATAAGGTTACAATCAATTTTAAATTGCATTTTGCCATCAAGAAGCACTAGCTATGAGTTTAATAAATCAAATTTTTAGAAATTTTACAGAGCAACAGTGACGCACACTGAACAAATAAACACTAGCATCATTCTCGGGAGGGTCTTTTAATCTCAAGCTCAGCATCCCACAGCACCTAAGGTTGTTGGAGTAAAAGAGAACATTTTTCAAAGAAGGCTGATTTACAGCACATAGAGCATATTCGAGGTGGCTGCTTAGGGATTTAGAAGTAGAACAACAGCAGATTTGGATTTTAGGAGAGTTGTTAGGAACTGAGAGGAGGAAATGAACCAAGCAGCAGGGAGCACACTCGGCCTTTGGACTTCCTCTCCGGATGGGGTGGAGACAACCGCCTGTCCGTGTCCTGGCGTCCAGAACTAGCCATGTGTGGTACTCATCTTACAGCCGTGAGAGTGGGGCCACCTTCAGAATCCACAGCACCGAAGGACTTGTTCACGTGTCGAAGTGAGAGGTCAAAGAGGACCTCAGGATTTTAGCTGGTGACTAGGACAAGTGGAGTGGGGTAAGCACGTACATTTAATACCAGAAAGAAGGGCTGATTTGGAGAAAAGAGGGTTGGGTTTTAGATGTGTTTGATTGAATTTGCTATTTTATTTTACAGTCTTACAGCGAGTGAAATACATGGGCAGAGTTCAGAAAGATTCCTTAGAGGAAGACATAACATGCAGAAATACTTCCTCCCACAGAAAATATAGAGAAACAAGAGGCATGGAAGAGGCTCCATGGTGAGGAGGCAAAGGCCCGGGACTTGGGAATATGGCAGAAGAAAAGAGGAAGGAAGGAAAACAAGTAGTGCACAGGAAGTAGGGGTAGTGAGCTTTACAGAAATGTGAATGCATGCTTCCTAGAGGTGTTGTATATTTGGTGTGTGGTTATGTTTTAGGTAACTTAGCCAGAACTTGATACTCATAAAGCTGAATTCGGGGAGAATGATATTTTAATTGCTGCAAAACAACTTTTACACAGCTGTTTCCAAAGGCTGTTTTCCTACTCTGCTTCTTCAAGGTTCTTTGAAATGCAATCAGCCAGGCTCCACTTTAAACTAAAACAGAAAATTAGATCAGGAAAAATACTACTCATGATGAACAGGTCTACAACCCCCTGGTTTTATCTGGAGGAGAACATCAGATAAATCTGAACTGAGTAATGCTTCTCCAAAATACCAGGCAAGTGAGCAATGTTCAGAGCAGCTAAGGTCATAAGATGGAGAGATTTGGGGAAACTGACCTAGCCACAGAGAATCTAAAGAGCTCAAAGGTAGGGCGTTCTTTTAGAAGAGACAGAGGTGGACAAAACCCGGATGGGATCTAAATAAAGCATGGTCTTGGTTAATGTACTCTATCTACGTGAGTTCATGAAGAAAGAGAAACGCACCATTCTAATGTAAGATGTGGGACAGCGGGGACATGGCGTGGGCGAGGGGTGGAGTTTATAGAAACTATCTTCGGCTCAATTTTTCTATAAACAAAAACTGTTCTACAAAATAAAATCATTTAATTAAAAAACTTAATTTTCAAAGATATTGATCACCATCCAAAAATGTAAAATGACTATGAAAATTTAACGGGTTGCAAATTTTTATCATCATTCTTATCTAGTCTTATAAAAGATAGTTGAAAAACAAAATACATATGGAAGCATGCCATAGACAATGAATCCAGAGTCCTATTGTCCCAGGGATGACAATTTTGCTCCAATCGATGGGAATTTGGAGATAATGTCGGTCAATGTTCCAAAGGATAATTTTTGGGAAATTCAAAAGTTTAAATAAAAAAATATATATGGCATTCCAAAGACCTCAAAGTAGGTAAGACAGTCTTGTTCACCAACAGATGAAGGGATGAAGAAAACATGCTCCTCTGCCACAGAGAAAGAAAAGCCGAATCATTGGTAGGAAAATGGATGTGCCTCGAGACCATACTATTAAATGGAATAAATCAAATGCACGAGCTTAAATGCAGCGTAGTTTCTCTTATATGAGAGCAAAATCAGGGATAGGAAACAGGAAGCAGGGAGATAGATCTTTCCCGAATAACAAGGGGATAAGGGGGTGGGGAAGGCAGGAAAGGGGGTGAAAAAGGAATGAAGATGTGTTCTGTACATGCACAACTGCACGCAAAGTGGTAAACGTGAGATTCTGCAAACATGCACGAGTAACAATTAACGTGCAGGAGGCACTGCCTTTGTAAATATCAGGAAATACGATAACGTTATAGCCACCAGAGGGATCTGACACTGACTCCTGCGCCGAGACAGCACACAGAACCAGCACATGTGAGACCCAACTGAGGACGCAGCTGGACTTACCGGTGAGTGGGGAAGGGGTGCAGTTTGTGACAGAAGGTGCTGGGGTTGTTGTTCATTGGCAGGAAAATGTAAAATGGGACTCGCTCCACACGTTTTAAAGATAGCATAGAATCTTGTCTCTCTTGCCAAGGAAAAGTATCTTAAGATGCAGCAAGTCATATCCACAAAAGAAGTGACTGATAGAACCTTAGGTATTCACCGTAGCACAGAGAAACTAGAATGGAAATTCCAAACTAGGACCTAGTATCCAAGACTTATTAACAAATTTTGCAATTCGGTTAAAATCTCAGAGGACCTAGTAGAAAAACCCACTGAAGGGCACACCACCAAAGAGTCATTCCTGGCAATCGTGCACGGAAAAGAAATATGACATTACCCTCAACCGCAAAACTAATCAGAAAAATGAAAATCACCATGAAATACATCTTGGTACCCACAAAATTGGCAGTATCAAGTGTTAGTGATGTGTGATGTGGATAAAACTGATGAAATGTTGATGAGATTGCCAATTGCACCAGTCTGGAAAACAAATTGATATTTTCTAACAAATTGGAAACTGTAGCCCCAAAACTTAACAAGTGGCGTTTACTCTAGGAGCATAGCACATGTGCACTTGAACAAAGGTGCCCATAATGGGACTGAACAGTCTGAGACCTCCTGAATATGCAAATGCATAACAATAGCAAACTGTGCTATATTTATCTACTGCTGACCCTAGGCAGTGGTGACAGTGGTGCACTGTACCCTCAAGCGACAATAACAATGAGTTTCCCAAATGTAATGTACAATAAAGTTAACAGGCAAAGCATAAACAAGGGCACACAATGTAGTTCCTATTTAGAGCTATGCAAAATCTTAGGAATATGCTGCTTTGGCATAGAATGATATATAGGGAAAGTCACAAAACAAAACAAAGGAATATTAAATATAAAATGTTTGATTGCATCTCCACAGCACAGAAAATATGGAATAGAGCTCAGGATTTTCTATGAGATTTCAAGGGGAATAATAATCATTTTTCTAAAACCAAATGTTAGACAAAGTATACAGTTGAGTCATCCTTCCCTACACTTACACAGATTTCATATTTTTAAAGTTTACTCCATATTTTGAAATATAATTTTAAAACACAACAATTAATTGCATGCAATAGCTGCAAAATAGTTGGGATCTGGTCATTCTGCATAATGTGTACAATGTATCTCAAAACAAATGTAAGTAAATTGGATCATTTCTCTAGTCATTTGTATCTACTTTTTGACAACATGTTAGGAACATGGGAAACAACCCTACAACCTTAGCTATTCAAACTCTGAATCACTACTGCTCTATTTTTTTTTTGTTCTGACTCCTGAGGATGGTAGAAAAGACAAGAATTTGATTGGGAATGGGAGGAGCTTAGAGAAAGGTGCTATTTTAATGGGCATCTGTTTTGGTGTTATTACACAGACAGTATACATGTCCCTTGATCATCTGGAACACTCAGTGGATCGGTGCTCTGCTTTATTATCTTTCTGCTAGCTAATTAAGACTATGTTTCCATTAGAACATCCTTTCTGCTTGTAATAGAAATCTAAAGATGACAGAAGAGATTGACACTAGGAGTTTCAGGTCACCAGCAAGGGGCAGTAAGAGGTGATCCAGCCTCTTATTCACAGAACAAGTACTTTGGAGCTAAAGTACCTTTGAGAAATTCTATTTCTACTCTTCAGCCTGCATTGGTGGCAGGAAACGTGAATCCCCTAATAAGGAACAAAGATGGTACTATCAAAAACTTCTACTTATTTGCTACATGGCATAACTATCAATCTAGCAGCAAAACTGAGAGCAGCACATTGTGAAAGCTCTACTATGGTACCTATATTCCTCTGTCTCTTCCATTCAAGAGCAGAAAAATACACCAAAGGATGCATTTTAAAGGCATTTACCATGGCAAAAAAAAAGGGTTACTTGGCTTATCAAAGATTAACGACACTTACTAGGACCAGTAAATAATAGAATAGCGATGGTTTCCCACAGACAACTGCAATTTCCATTCAGCACGAGAGTTAATAATTTCCAGTGTAAACAAATCATTCTTTAAGGGCATACAATGCTGTTGTGCCAAAGGCACTTAGAGCTGAACTCTGAACCATATAAATGTTTCAGAGTGTTTATTAGCATCAGTGAGGTGTAAAGTGAGAAATATCAATAGGCAGAAATTAATAAAATCAGTATTGATTTTAGCTGCTACATTATGTTTCTCCAGATATCGAAAAACTCAAAGGCATCTTATGGCCCATTGCCATGAGTGAGGACTTAGTTGATGACTCCATAGCTAAAGCTACTGACTAGGCTAGGATGTAATAGCCCTGGAGATTGCACTGGGAAAAAAACGACTGCTGGTGTCTTAGGAACGTTGTATCATCGAATGAGTGAGTATATTTTTAGAACATAATGACGCACTTCAATGTCATCTGCAAATTCTGCTCATAAAACCACAAAGCTGAAACTTGAAGGAAATATCATGTGGAATTTCTTAGAGAAACATGGAAAACTAAAGAGTTAGTGTCTTGTACATGTTGTCATTTAAAGCAATATGCTTGCTGTAGTTGCAAGGAATATATTCATTAGCATTGCTTCAATTGAAGACAGAATATTACAAAAGAAAAATACAACTAAGTCAGAACCTGGGCCAATAGCAGCTAAGATGAAAGCAAACTAGTAGACACCCACCATGTTGAAATCACAGGAACTCATACAGCATTAACCTTTTCATGTAGTTTCTCTTGGACAATGCACTCCTTTTAAACAACAGAGGAATTCTTTATTTCATCATGGAAATTACACTAGAGTAAAGGTTAAAAGATTGAAAATCTTGTCTATGGTCTGTTACGTTACTTTGTGATAGAGGCATGACTCAGTCTTTAGAAAACTAAAAAGAATAATTAATTAATTTGAAAACCAGCTGTCCATCCACATCACCAATAGCTAATATCTGAAAAGCCCCAACTCTCAGCTTTGAATCAGTTTTATACAAGTCCTGGAAATCAATATTCTTAAAACAAAAACAAAACAAAACAAAAAAACTCTGCCATGATGCTGATCTACAAATAGGGTTAAAATTCACAAGCCACATCATGTCAAAGATCTTTTTTTATTTTTTTTTAGCTCTGTAGGTCAAAAAAATGTATATACTTGCTGAAGCTGCAATTCAGAGCATGCTCACTCTAGGGTTGTAAAGGACTGGCTGCAATTAAGCTCGCTTTCTCAGTGAAGCCAGGCTGAAGAGACCGTCCAAAAACATAGGGGACTTCAATTCCTGCAGCATCACCACGGCTGCCCACGTGGCCCCACTAACAGATGCACTTAGGGAATGGAAAACCTGATCCCCAGGTTATCCAAAAGCATTAACCGCCATCTACGGACTTCTTAAAGATGCAGCTCCACCTCCCAAGAACAAATGGCATTTTACTGAGAGATGCTATATATTGATGCATATTTTCTACAACTTAAAATGCTCAAGGATCATCTAGCTCTTATTAAATTGTCTCTTTCTCTTTCCCTGTCTATGTGAATTAGCAAGACATACCTTCAGCCTGCTAAACTGATTTTCTGTGTGGAACTGGGCAGCCTAAAGAAACTCACGGAATATTGGAAACTGATTCAGACTTAAATTAAAAATGACTGGCGAATGTGCCCTTTTCGACAAGGGTATTGATGGGAATTAGGCCATTGGTCAGATTGTCTGTGAAGACTGTGGAGACTCTTCCTGGCTGTGTTGCCAGGAGCCATTTCCCTATTCACAGTGGCCAAAATATTGATCCGATCCTTGTAAAGCAGTGTTGTATCCTTCACAGGCGTCTAATGGTGAGATTAAATCATAACTTTCCCCGCATCAAGACATTTGGCCATCTGCCAGGATCGTCCCTGCCGACGGAGTCCACAGCGCATTTGAGATGCACATCCCTTGTGTCCGTAGCTGAGTCCACGTTAGAGTAAGGCCTGCGATCCGAAAGCCAGTAAGACTCAGCTTGAAAGTGGTCCTCGATGAATTTCACATCCTACACCCCCAAATCTTGATTATCTTCTTGCATTTAATTGCAGTTGTATTTATGCCCCAGCGCGCTCCGTGGTGCGTGACCGATCCTGCGGCTCGCATGAGTAGCAGCTTCCCGCACCTCGAGGCTTGGCGGGCGACTGCGGGTCCCCAGCAGAGCGGGGGAAGCAAGGCCTCTGCAAGACTCGCTTACCCAGAGAGACTCTGGAAGCTCTGCTTTGCTTTGACAAGTAAAAGGGTTTATTTGGCCAATTGATGTTCTTATAAATGAGAAAAACTATCAGAGAAGAGGAACCAGAAAAGGAGGTAGCAGATTTGAGAACCGTCACTCTGGAGGCCGGTTGAAGAACGGCCTGGGGACGGAGAGGGCTTGGGTCAAGTTCACTAGTGCACAGTGGCAGTGAGAGCGGCTTCGAAAAGACGGTTGGACTGGAGGGAGTTTTTGAAAATATCAGATACCGCTAACAAGATCCTGTGTATCTGGTGTACAGACAGTGTTCTCTAAGTTTCAGTTTTGGGAAATACAAGTAGATAGATGGTGATATAATTGACCAAGAGAAAAAACACACCGGGTGGGAGGAGCAGAGAAGAGGAGGGGATTTTGACGGACGACCAGTTTGTGTTTGAGCTGCTCACATATGGGTTAGAGATAAGAGAGGGGACATTAGGATGGGTGAAAGGAGTCACCTGCACATTTATCAAGAAAGAGAGGGACATGAAGGGTCTGCTACCATTGACAGCAGGAATTGTCAGCCATGGCAACTGGACACCAGTGGATTTGCATCAATTCAATAGTGAGGGGAAACATCGACGTCCAAAGTCAAGGAGTAAATTGTCAGTGAGGAATTAGAGAACTATGGAGGCTATTCTTTCAAAAAGTCTGTTTGAAAAGGAAGAAACATGAGAAAAAGTAGGATGGAACAGCATTTTGGTTCAGGAATCCTGTGCATCTTATAGGCTGAAGGAAAACAGCAGTGGAGTTATGGTATGTATTTGGTCAGAGGAGAAAAATGTGAACCTTGAGGCAGCATCTAGGATGGGGTAAGAAGGAGGAATGTTTAAGATCTGAAGACTACATTAAGCTTAGACAAGAGCATGGAGACCCCCTTCAGTTTAGTAGAGTTGTCAAAGATAAGAATGGAAACAGATAACAGGAAGCTTTTTCAGTGATGGAAAAGGAGAGAGTATTAAATTTTACAAAAACTGAGCTTGTTTTTAAATAAAGTTATAAAATTTTGATACTCCCTATTAAAACAATATGTAAAGATATATCTATATAAAGATAAATGCATAGATATAGATAATAAAGCAATTAATATATGTAGATAAATAAATCTAAAACCAAAATATCTTTTTAGAAAACACAGCATTCTTGCTGGTTGTGGTGGCACACACATGTAATCCCAGGTATTCAGAAAGGCTAACACAGGAAGATTGCAAGTTTGAGGCCAGCCTGAGCAATGTAGCCAAACCTTGTCTCAAAATAAAGCGATACAAAGGTCTGGGGATGTAGCCCAGTAGTGAGCACTTACCTCCCATTCCTGAGGGCCAACTGCCAGTACAAAGAACAGGAGGAAAACAGAATGAATGAAACAAAAACTACAGCACTGTATGAACATGAATAAAACTTCCTCCCCTCTCTTTTACTTGCTGGGCCCACATGGAGCATTTGCAGTCTTTCCTGCATTGGAAAGATCACAGATCTTGCTCGTTAATCATGCTTTCTATTTCAGCACAGCCATTTCTTGCTTTAGTCCTGAGCTGTTGACTCTAACCCCTCCATAGTTTTCCAGAGTCATCACCTGCATCACTGATTTTTTAATTTTACATTTTCCAACCATTTTCTCAAAATCCCTTACTTCTTTCACTAGATTTATGTTACACAAAAGCAAGAACCATGTTCCACTTATCTTTTAGACTTGCACAAAATATACATCAGGCTTAAAACTGCTGTAACCTGTTCTGTCTGGCAGGCTAGTGTGAGAAAATGGCATAGTCCCCATCTGGTAGGAAGGTCACAGGCCCCTGCTGTTAGCAAACACTTGAGAGGTACAGCTCAAGAAGTGAATTTCAACTTCAATTAAAACAAGGATAGAGATTATTGTATGGAATAGTGCAATTGTAAATTGTACACAATTAGCATTTTTTGGAGGTGGCCTTTGGGTGACTTTTGTATTCTTTTGTTTTCTTTTTTAAAACATTTTTAATGCTCACAGTAAATTAGAGGGAGCAAATTGGAGTAGAGATGGCAAACAAGTAAGAAAGAGAGAAGTTAAATCTGACAAAGCAACACAAGATAGTTTTGATCTTAATTAATGTGTGGTCGAGCAGTGCAGTCTTTCATCTATGTTCACCATGATGACTTTGAGTCATCCAAGGAATGGATAAGTGCCACAGTCTTTGCCCAAGTTCAATCAAACTCACTTTTTGTCACAGTTCCAGCACTCATACATTATTATCCTGAAGTCACACATCAAAGCAAAACAACCAAAACCAGATTAAAAAACAAAAAAAAAAAAACAAAAAAATCGACCTTCCAAACCTTAACAACATTCTCAAGGGCTTCTAAAAGTTGAACTCTAGTCTGTGCCAAAAGCCGTAATCTTCACTCTCCATACAAAGGCCCGGTTGTACTCATCACATTCTGAGCTCTACAATACACTTGTGTGTGTATTAATTTTGCTACGAAATATATAAACCTTTAGTTAAATACCACCTGTCCTCACTCATTTATGGAAACAAATGAATCTTATGGAAAAACAGAATGGAAGAGTGGTCAGTACGATGAGGAATGTCCACAGGAGGAAGGGGCAGAAGAGAAGAAAAGACATGAAGAAGTTCTACAGGGCACCAGCGCAGCAGCTGCAGCCCTTCTTTTGGCTGTTCCGTAATACAGGCGTGTGGCTATTGGCTAAACAATATCAGAATCTCACAGTCTCCAAGTTGTTACAAAGTGAGTACAAAGCTCCAAACACATGAAAACAATTAATGATTGAAGGGATGGAAATGCTCATCACCCTGACTGGATTATTACTCATTGCATACATGTACTGAAGGACTATACTACATCTTATGAAAGTACAAATATTATGTCTCTATAAAGAAAATGCCCAAATTTAAAGAACATTTCTATAATGTCACCGAAGTATTGTTTGTGATAGAAAAATATTGGAAACATCCTAGATGTCTATTAAAATAGATAATATAATACAAATGACAGTGGCAAAACACATAAGCAAATCCTGCAGCACTTAAAAAGATAAATCCTCAAATAATTAAAAAACATGACCCCAAATGACTCATGACCCAATGATCCTGGATAGACAAAACGATAGCACATTCACAAGTCAGTACAGATTTCATAAAATATTCCAATTCTAAAAAGTTCTTATGTGGTATACATTAAATTATTTTTAATATATCTTTTTGCAAAAGAAAATAAATAAACAAAACCACCATACTACATGGTAATGTCTAGAAATAACAAAATCAGCTGGTTCCAGAGATGTTAAGAGTTTCCCATTACCTCCACAGAATAAACTCATAAAATTTATCTTTACCTTTTCATTTGTTGTAAATGTACAGTATATTCCTGTTGTTTTGCAGAACAAACTCCTCTACAGTTTCTTTGGTCGTATAGCCCCAAATGATGTATTAAAAAGCCGTTTTATGTTTTCAAAGTGTTCTTAATCTTTAGTAAAGAAACACGCTGAAGCCATGATTGTCAATGTGTCCTAAGACACAAAGATGGAATGGTTTTAAGTGCTGCCTCTGGTCATAGGAGGCAAGTGCACTCCCTCCCAACTTCTATAAATAAACTATGGTTTCTTAAAAGACTCACCAGATAAATTTTACTTGTTGTTACTAATTATCTAATTTCTTAACACATTCACCAGCAACAACACCTGTTTAATGATACAAGTATTTCTCAAACATTATCTTTCAATAACATGTTTTGTACTAGGATTCTTATTTGCCTCCAGTGGTCTCTCTCTTCTAAGTTTCATGCCATGTTCTCCTTCTAAATTATAACTGTATATGCTATTCTGGACAGAATATTCTCATTCCCCTCAAATGTGGCCAGTAAACAAAAACATGTGAGAGTATAAATAAGAGGGAACCTCAGATCTGTTTCTTCTGTGGGTTTTCAAGTTATCTTTGACTCTACTAAACTATGGGGTGTGATGGTTGTTCTTGCCTCAGCTACACATAGACCTTAATTTAGATAATCATAGGATGGAACCCATAGTGACATACTGCTTCAAGCCAAATTCTGAGGCCCTTTCATATAGACAAGGGTGGAAAAGACACATTGCATTTAATATCCAACCAGTTGTCAGGGGCATTCAGTCTGTTATTCCCACTGTCAGTATAAACATAAACAGAGAGAGACAAATGAAAAGGAAAAAATTTCTGCCCTTTATGTTTCATCAAGCAAAAATCTGCTTTGTGGGGTGAAATCCTTTTTCTAAATTCCTGGATATAATCAGGAATGGATGACAGCATACTTTTGAATTTAATATTCTTTATCCCAACTCAACAGGTTTGACTCATTTCATATTTATTGAATGCCAAACCTTTAGATAAAAGGCTTGTGAAAATGATTCATGATAACACTATGTTCATACCACAACTGGCTTCATTCTTGCTGCAACAATAAAAGACAAAAGAAAATGGCAGAAAGATGTAAGCAGCATATTTGAGACAACATTTTTCAAATGGAAAAAGCCTTGGATGTCTTCACACACTGCCAGATAAAGCCACACTGCCAAACTGCACAGTGATGGAGAGCAAACAAGTCCGGCAAATATAGAATTCGCAAAGCCTTTATCATTGCAGTTACTGTGCAGCAAGCAACATCTTCATAGCAAATTTTAAGTAAGGAACTGGAATATTGAAGCACTGGGTATAATTCTCAGTAAGTCAGTGTTCACAAGGACAAAAACTTGCCTTTCTCTTTCCATGGAAGAGCGTTTCAGGCTGCTGCTTATTGAGCCTCGCGGTAATCTTATACTTGGGAAATACGCAAATGTGAATCCAAAGAAACCCAACTGTGGTATTCAGTGTGACAGTGAGAACTGTAGCTGCTCTCAAAGACAGACACATGGTGGGCAGAGTAAGCGCCCTGTGCAGACACCCTTCTGGGATGCACTGGTCTCTCTGCTGCTTTGAGCATGACTGTCTGAACTTCACAACTGCCCCTTCCTTTCTTAGAAAATCGCCTGCCAGCAAACACTGACTGGGGCAGTTCACCAAAGTCTGTTCCCCCATTTCAGTTGACTTCTGTCAGTTGGCCACTCTGAGGTCTGTGGACAGGGATGCCCCTATTCAGGGATCAGCAGGGATGCTCAGGGCAAGCAGAGCTCAGCAGGTCCCCAGTGTGGACCGTGCTCTTCACCAGCCACTTCTCCGTTCCCCTGCGTGTTTCAGTTCTGCTCTCCTGAGGATCACCTTACCATCCAGCCACACTTCTAAATCCCCGCTTTCCATTCTGTTTCCAGGAAGCTCTCCTCTAAGGTACACAGGGGACAATAAAACTTTAAACTGGATTTTTTTAAAATTAAAATTGGAAGAGATGGTGTGAAGGATGAATAAAGAAAGAGAATTCTATTACCAAGGTGTGTGAATGAAGCCAAACACTGAGTATAAAGTACAACTTCAGTTCCACCTTTATGGTTCATATATTTAAGAATCTGTTTCCTTATCTTTAAAATGGAAATGGCATTCTGCATTCCCATGTGTAGTAGCAGTGTTTTATTTAGTGTCTAAATATCTAATAATGGACAAGTGGAAAGATGTTATTTTCATGCCTTCTCTAACTGTACTTTATAGCAGAAAAACAATAATAAAAAGCTCTAATCAGGTCCATTAATTTGCCAGGATATTTCTCCTTTTCTTCCAGCATTAAAACCAAGGAAGGATTTTTTTTTTTAAGTGAATGAATCTCAAAAAATAAGTGCTATGTACTTTGCATCAAGTAATTTTTCTTTGTTTGTTTTTTGGTACTGGGGATAGAACTGGGGTCCTTTTTCTTATAAGAAAAGCAGTGGAACCACTGAGCTAAATCCCCGGCCCTATCAAGTAATTTTTACTTAAAATATTTTGTGATCCAGACTTCCATGAAGGTTCATTCTGTGTTCAGATCAAATAAACCCGAAAGGCCCATGGCTGTCAGAATCACCTGTGGACCTTAGTGTCCTTTTCAGGAGCTGACACAAAGAA